ACAGAACACAAAAGAACCTCAAAAGAACCTTAGGTGAACTTCTTACCACGGTCCCCCCTTTCGTCGTGAAGTCGACGTGGGTCCCACGCCTTAAGCAGAAACTTGGTTGACTCCGGAAGTACAAGGTCGGGGAGCTTCGACAAACCGTCCGCGATGTAAATCCTAGCCACCCTGTGGCTGGCCCACCTGCCTTTAAGCAGGGCGAGTTCCATGGAACCTGTTGACTGTAGGAGCCATGTGGCCCCACCCCGACGCATGGAGTAGGGGCGAAAGCCCAGGGATTGGATCTTGAACCGCTTCAAGTACGCGTCAAAGTGCGACCTAAATGCCTGGCCCGAGAACTCCCACAATCGGTGAGACAGCGCACCATGGGATGCGAGCACGTCTCGTGCAGTCTGTACCACCATGATGGTGAAAAGATCATCTGTTGTAACCATTTCATCAGCAGAATTGCGTTGACCAGTCTTGGTATTCTTTAAAGACACCACTACCTGAGAGCTGTTGACCAGCAGGTCAGAACCACGCAGATTAAGGAGTTCCCCTGTACGTAACAGGGTAAAGAACCCAAGGCACAACAAGCAGCTGAAGAAGATGTCATGATGACATATCCCATAGTACGCCATGCTTAAGATGATCTCCCGAGTGATGGGAGGTGCACGGGCCGGCCACTCAAGCTTCCGCCACGTGGCGAAAAGACGCCAGGCCGTTGGAATCTTCCTCTTGGTGATCGGTTCAAAGAAGTGGAGGCCAGATAGTGCGTTGCCCACTGTATACAATGATTCGCCGTCCTCCCAACAAAGTTCCACCCATTCTGCCACAGCTGTATCAAGCTCTGACTCACTCTGAATATTTTCAATGAAGGGAAGGAGCAGACGAAGGGCTACAAAATAGGCAATCCTGGTTCTGATACTAACTCCGGCTTCTCTGAGCTGTATGCCTCTTCTTTCAGTGCGTCTCTCTGTACGAGTCCTCCTATGGATCACCCTAACTCCGGCTCGCGGCATCTGTCGGATTCTCTGTGCTCTCAACGTGAGCCAGAACTAAGAAAATCCCATGGACGAGGAGGTGCGCATTAAGAACTTTGAGCAAACGATTCAACATTATGCTGCTAGAACGTCCTTTTGAAACAACACTGATGGTGACATATGAGTCGCTCAAGTGGAAAATACGGCGTTGAGACCACTTTTCGGAACGAATGCCTCTCATGATAGACAACATCAAGGCCTTGAGCTCTAACTGATTGATGTGCTGCGGTTTAGGCCATCGGACTTTGAAACCGTCCTTCCACAACCACCATCCGGCCGAGATCGACTGACGCGGGAATGCTTTGGGGTTGATCAACTGTCCAGTCACCACTCTAACATCACTCCCTGTAAAATTGGTGCGAGCAAGAAGCATCTGGTTGAGGTCTTTAACCCCCACTGCATCCTGAGCTTCTGCAAAGTGACGGCATCCATATTGCAGTGTTTGACACAAAGGAATTTGAAGACGGAAAGAAGCTCTAAAACCTGGCGCCATACCCATTCTCCTACAAAGGTGACTGTAATGCACTTTGGGGATCCTATTCCGACACAATGCAGCTCCAACAATACTGAATGAAAACATGCTAAAAGCATCTCCCACCAAAGAACATTTTTCTCTTTCGTAACCAGCGGGATCCGCTTTGATCCTACTTGCGGGCCACGCCAGGTCACAATGCCCACAACCGTAACCCATCAAGACCTGTCTCTCACTGCTGTTAGTAAGGCGCCATCTGTCATCCTTCCACAACAAGAACTCTGACCGAAATTGGTATGGGGGGTAGACAAACCCAGAGACTTCCCACCTTGTCTGGCAGTCACGATCAGCTCGGGACAAACCGGCCGGTTGTGGGGGAGGTGAGTCCTTCCAAACGGCCCTCATACATGTTGGAAAGGCTTTAGCTGTATGCTCCCCTGGCCACTCGAAATTGTCTGTAATCCACTGATCAACCGAGGGGTAGACCGAAGGTGCAGAAACCGTGAGCCACCTACGGTCGGGGGTCACCTTTATCCCTTCAAGACAACCCTCAATCGACTCTGTGGTCCAACATAGGCGAGGGCGACGCAAAGGGACTGCATCAACTGAATCCAAGAAATGTGGTTGCAGCCCCATCCATTGACTGATTTCGCGGCATGCTGACTCGTCCATGGATGCGACGTTCTCTGCCACTATCTTTGTGGTGATGTGTTCCGGAAATTCTTCTGTGATCAACTCCCAAATACGCAGGAACTCGAAGAACAGGGAGCTTTGGGACCCCGCCAAATTCTGACGATTTGCCCTTGCGGAGCTCAAATCCCGGCAAGGAAAACCACCCCAGAGGTGGACTTCCTCAACCGTATGGAATTCTCGAGCCCAGGATTTGACTGTCTCACGAGAAATCTCTGTCACATCCCGCAAAATACTTGCGGCAGGCCATCGCCGACTCACAATTCGGTTGGCAGGTGGATGTATGTCCACAGCAACCATGCCCCTGGGCAAGACGTCCAACAAGTCATACACCCTAAAGGTGCCACCAATCCCTGAAAAGAGTGCAATGACCAAGATCGGGCAAGTGCCGAGAGTTCTGCTTGAAATCTGACTCGAGATCACAAAGTCCTTTCCTTCAATGCTGAGTGCATGCGAAGAACTTACCGCTCCGCCCCGTTCTGAGGCATCACTGCACCATGTTACACAGTCCACTTCTGCCCCAAAATAGGTGTGAAGGAGGGGGATTGAACCCAGGATCAACATGAACTCACGTTTGGTCTGAAGAGCCAACAACTCCCCCGCACTATCCTTGTTGATGAATGCCCAACACTTGTCGAGAAAGCTCATCCCAGGACGCCTGAATTGTAACACATGCACCCATCTTCCAGCTACCACCTGTACTTGTTTCTTAAGCAGAGGCTTCTGTGCCACTAACCACAAAGTCGACTGAACAAGTTTACACAACCTACTCGGTGAAGCGCCAACCAACCCAATCTTACCTTGAAGAAGTGCACCTAGTTCCTCAGTCTCCTGACTATCACTCACCTTCTTTTTATCAGCCGAGATAATTCCATGACTCTTCCACGTGCGTTCGCAAATCTCATGCACCTGATCTCCTACCAAAGAAACATCACCTTCCACACGTTTGTCACCCCCCATGAAATTATCGAGGTAAACCTGCCAGAAACATCTATCACTGCGCACCGACTCCTTGGCCGCCCTGATCAATGCAGCCGGTACGGGTTGACCCCGTCTGACCTGGCTCTCCGGCCTCAAGCCTTCTTGCCATAAGATGGTCTCAGAGACCTCCTGCATCAGACTGACTGAACTGTGCATCCCCATGGGTAGGACTCGACATGCGAGTTTGTACTCAGTGCCTTCCACCCAACGACTCACGTCAAAGGCCAGGAGTCTAAGCCAACATCTGGGCATGGAGAAAAGGTAGAAGGCTGAAGAGATGTCCGACTGGTAGAAATGGAACCCTTCTTTTCCCTCCAATAAGGCTGCTTGCCAAGCCGTAATGGCAGGCAAGCCATCAACTGCTCCACGAATCTGATCCATCACAGAATTAGTTGCCTTTAAGTTCATGATGACACGGAGAATTGGTCGGCCATCTGCCAGTTTAGAGGGCTTGCAAACTCCAAACAAGCCGTTCAAGACACGCACTCCATTGATTGTGAGAACTTCTGAGGCAGGGAACCACTCACAAATTCCCCGTTTAACCAATTCGTCACAAACCTGCTCCCTTTCACCTTTACCAAAGTGAACCGACCCCGGGACCTTAGGTCGGGGATGTGAAAAATCAGATCTAATCAAACGCTCGGGATTCTCCAACAGTTCACGGGTTGCGTCCGACACCAACCCAACCAGCGGAATCGACCCTCCGTGTCCTAACGGCGGCAACGCAGGAACGACCTGACACAAAGTAAGGGGCTCACACACTCCGGTCTCTTCCCCATTGTAGTCCACCCGTGCTGCTTTCAGCTCTTCGCCCACTTTTTCAAAGGGGACGATCGCTCCGCCGTGACAGCTAAGCAGTCTCTTGACAAAGCTCCTGGCGGCCGATGCTCCTTGCCTCTCCAGCGCCGTCCACTTCCCGGCAGCCAGCGGTTTCACACCACCCGCAAGGCCACTAGTTGCATGGAGAGCTAGCAAGACCCATGAGTCCTCGGCCCACCTTGAAGCGAAAGCCTCACTGCTCGCCTCCTCAATGGTGACTTGGCTCAACATTTCAAAAGCTCCTTCTAAGTCTCCTCTTCTCAAAGGGAACGTGGCAGCTCTAGAAGGCCCCACGTATCCAGTTGCGGCTTTCTCAAGGTCAAAAATCACTTTGGACAACCAACGCCAAGCTCCTTTCTTCTCAGTCCTCATGGCTTGAGCCAGCATCCATGCCAGTAGGGTTCCAGCATTCTCGAGATTGCGAATGCGGCCTCCAACCGCCCGAAGCAGCTCTTGCCCTGCGCCAAATTCTGTGAAACTAGACGACCTCTGAACTGCCATCTCCTCTTCCTCACCTGTTCCCTTCACGGGACGCTCAAGGGACCGCAGCTCAGGGGCCTCTCTTGAAATCTCAGCAACA